CCATGTAAACTGTTGGGTCGCAGAGAATCGCTGTGAAGAGGGCACCTCATTAGTGCTCGTAGCGTCAGGGTTCAATTTAGGCAGCGCATTTCTGAAGAGTTTCCTAGAAATTTGTGGCAGAGGAAGGAACGCAGGGCGTAGGGGGTGCACAGGGCCCTTATCATGTTGTACAGGACGCATTTAGGGGGGGCTGTCACAGAAGCACAAAATAAAGCAACTGCGCTCAAGGAGGATCACAGAATTCCTCAGCTGGGGAAGTCATTCCGGGAATGCAAAGATCGCTTTCAGTGTTGTTTGTAAGGATGTGACAGTCACCGAGTGGAGAATGTCAGGTCCTCAGAGAAACCCTGTGGGCACTCACGTGCAGAAAACTATTTACTTAACTGGAGTTGGTTCTGAAAATATTTGACTCTGGAGGGTCCCTAAGGGCATGTGGCGGGTGTCTGGGGTTCTCTTTCAGGCCAGGACTCGGCCTTGGCTAATCCCCCTAACTGATAGGCTCCCAGGTTTCGAGGCAGATTCTTTCCTCTGCTGAAACAAGGTTTATGGCCCTGGCTGAGGCCTGAGGGGGAGGCTGTCATTCCAAATGCTGCCCCGGCTCAACAGAGCACACGTCTGTCTGATGACTCGGCAGTTCGTCGCCGTGGAGCAGAAGCACCAGAGACAAGGTTGTGTGTTAAAATCAGAGTGGAGGAGAAGCCTGGAAAGAATGATGGACTGTGATATTTGTCTCCAGAAAGAATCCAGCAACCTGGTGTTCTTGTCAGAGCCGAAGGTTGACAGCGTGGATAAAAGAGGGGAATTTTGATGCCACCACCTGCAGGAGAATGATGGATTGTACCAAGCGGGATGAGTTTTGGAGATGGCTCCTCCTGTTAAACTCATTCCACCACCCCCACTTCCCGAGCAGGACACACAAGACTAAGGTTATTCATTTGAGGGCACAGACAGCGAGGCTCCACGGGGCCTCAGAGTCTGCCGGTTTGGCCTGACCCCGAGGGCCCGAGAACAGAAGTATCCTAGAAAGATCAGTAACCTTTCTGCTCACTCATTCTCCTCCCTGACACACTTCCCTGGGGCATCCCCTTCATTCTGAGAGGCAGAAGCTCACTGTGCTGGGCACTTGCCACCTGGGCTACAGTTAGCACTTGGCACTGCAGGTCTGTATGTATACGTTATACGTCTGTTGTCTGTCTCCCACGAGGGCATTTCCTCCTCATTTACTTCTGTCCCCAAAATGCCCAGGCCGGCATGCAGGATGATGACACCTACTCTGCTTGCATCATGAGGCTGCTGTGGGGGGTGGACCCGAATAGAGACAGGAAGTGGTTTGAAAGTGTTAGAAACCTGTGCCGTTTGGAACTGTGTGCCTGTGGGGGCTGCAGAGAAGATTCTGGGGCCATGGGTAGTGAGTGTCATGATTTGGGGGACTTAAAAGGGCATTTAGAGTCATGACAGATCTATCTCCCTGCCAGTCCTCCCATGCCAGTCTTGGCCTCATATGCCCCAAATGCCAGCAACTCAGGCATCACCTCAACAACTTTGACCAGATTCATTTGTCACCTGGGCTCTAGATGAGTACTTAATATTGTTCTTTAAATTGATTTACTTTCTCTTCTAACTTTTAGTTGTGACAAATTTTATTTTATTTTTACTTCTATTATTTATTATTATTTATGCCTACAGCACCTGGTCTTCCTAAGTGGTCTCTCATCCAAGTACTAACCAGGCCCGACTCTGCTTAGCTTCCAAGATCAGACATCGGGCTTGTTCAGGGTGGCATGGCCATAGACCATGGACTGTAGCTCCACTGGGACACGAACCCAGGACCTTCTGCATGTAAAGCAGACATGCTAACCGCTACACTATCGAACCACGTCCAGTTGTAACAAATTTTAAACCGTCAGGGAAGTTGAGAGAGCACCAAGAACACCCATCTACCCCTCTCCTAGATTCGTCAGTTGTTAATATTTTTGCCACATTTGCTTTCTCTATTTCTCTTCACGTAGACATTAAAAAAAAGTAATTATTTATTTTCTGGGTTCATTAAAAATACTTAAATAAACTTTCAATTTTAGAATAGTTTTAAAGAAAAGTTACAAAGAGAATACAAGCAATTCTTCTATACCGTGTACCCAATTTCTCATTGTGTCTCACATCGTCGACATCTTACATTGCCGTGGTCCATTTGTCACAACTAATGAGCCAAATATTGATTCATTAGTATGAATTAAACTCCATGTTTTATTAGGGTTTTGTAAGTTTTCTCTTATCTGATAGAGTCACCTTTAAACTAAAAAAAAAAAAAAAAAAAAAAAACGAAAAATTGGGAAATGTCAATGGGAAATGAGGATCACTTGCCAGACACAATTCTTTTCTGAATGACAGAAGCCTGAGGCCAGCTGTCTCTTTGTTATAAAGAGAGATTAGTAAATGTATTAGAGGTGTTACAGACAGATTAACACAAAGGTGAGACTTTCTCCCAGGCCAAATGGGACTGGAAGAAAATTGCCGCAGGAGTAAAATAACTTTCCTACTATCAGATTCAGACTTGTTTAGAGCGCAGTCTTGTGTCCTTCTGGGCACCACCCTGTGTGAGCTCCAGTTCGGGAATCTAAACGGTCTCACTATGCCACATCCTCAGATGGCCGGAAACCCCAAGTTTGAGACTGCCCGGCCCCAAATTTGGAGTGCCCTTCTGCCCCGGAGGATGGGGGTGGAGAGGCTGGCTCAGGGCTGTGGAGAATGTCATCTGTCTTCTCTACAGTAACCAGCCCCCGGCTGAATTCCTAAAGTCAGCATTTGACAAGTGAAGAACAGAAGAGAGCATGCTGGAGAATGCCATCGCCAGCGCGTGCGAGAGCATCCTGCACTGGACATGAGGTCCGCCTGCCTGTTGCATCTGGGAGATGTGGGCCTCTGTGTGGCCAGCGAGGGGGAGGGACATGGCTAGAGTGAACCTGTGCTTTCTCAGCAGCCCTTCGCAGAAAGTCTGAACTCGTTCACATCCATTCCTTTAAAATGCTTCAACGTGGTTTCCATGTTATATGTTAGAGTAAGTGACACAGTTTCCTGCAACCAAGTCATCACTGTCCAATACTTTCCTTTCAAGTGTGTATCTGCTGTCCTCATCCCCAGGAGGCCTAAGCCCCCTCCAGAATAACTGGACAGCTCCCTGCTCTGAAGGAATTTCACTCTGTGATAAGTCACAGTTGGTTCAAGGGGTCCAAACCTTTAACCAGAGGTGATCCAGCTGGAGTGTTTGCAGACTTTCTGGGTCTCCTGCTCAGGAGAGCTGTGTACTTGTCCGCTGACGTATTGTAGAATTCTTTGAGTTAGTCCAAGGAAGCAAAGGGGTGCACGAAATTTTCTCCGTGTGTGGGGTGCAGCATCCCTAGAGAAGGAAGCTGGTTGGGACACAAATGATAGGCGGATCCATTTTCATTGCTTGAAACGAAGCTATTACAGGTCAGAGCACCACCCTTAAACCTTTTTGCCTCCCCCTTTTCCCAGAGGTAATGAGTCAGTTTGGTTCATATCCTTCCAGACTATTTTCCTGGCTTGATGCGTTTCCATAGTATTTCATTTTATGTGTGTGTAAGGGGGAGGGTTACCCATTCAGGATTATACCAAATGTCCCATTCTGACCCCTTTTTTGGTTAATCGATGGATACTTATTTCCAACTGTTTCCTATGACAAACCATTTTTTTCCTAGCAAACTTCTATGTGTATGCCTCCTAATGCATATGCGTAAGTGATGTTTTGGGTGGCAGCTCAGTTCCGGTTTTTGAAGCTCTTGCCAATCACCCTTCAGAGTGTGTGTTTGTTGGGGGAGGGGAGGTGCCAGTTTCTGTTCTTTGGGGCTGTTTGGTCCCGGTTTCTTGTTTGCAGTGGCTGCAGGGTAGGAGGGAGCCAAGGCGAGGCAGAGAAAAGTTCATCTCCAGGTGTTTCAGGCTGAGAGGCACCGCAGGGCCAGACCTCTCCTTGGCAGCCATCAATGGGGACTTTGCTCCTGGGTGCATCCCTGAGCGGAATCCGAAAGCGAGACATGCCGAGGTGACAGAAGGAGCCGTGGGTTGTGCTGGGACCCCACCCCTTGACTCAGAGACACCAAGTTTATAGGAGTCTTACACACACAAATGTAACAGGGGTGTGTGTGTGTGTATGGGGGTGAACCCTGAAATAATTAGGTTATAAAAAAAGTCGGGGAGAAGCAGTAAAAGAGGCTGACCACTAACTATAAAGAGATAAAAAGGAAAGGCAAGCCAATTGGCACCCCAGGGGAAGTGGGAGGTGCAGAGAGGATGATAGGGTTTGGGGGGGCGGGGGCCCGGGGCCGTCGGAAGGAGTGTGTAG